CAGGAATGCGCATATCGCACAAAACCCGTGTGTTCCGGACAACAAGACAGAGTATACACACACACGCGCGCAGAGAGCGAGAGAGAGAGAGAGGGGAGGGGGGACGGGGCGTAGAAAGAGAGACATAGAGAGAGCGAGACAATTGAGCGAGCTGGTGGTCTGAGGAAAGGAAGGGAAGTTTACCGCGAACGCGTGCTGGCGCCATTATCCCAGCTGGTGTCCTCTCTCTCTCTCTCTCTCTCTCTCTCTCTCTCTCTCTCTCGCTCTCTCTCGCTCGCTCTCGCTTTCTCTCGCTCTCTCTCTCTCTCTCTTTCCCTCTCGGCTCTCTCTCTCTTTCTCTCTTTCTCTCGCTTCCCCGCTCTCCTTCTCTTTCTCTCTTACTTTCTCCTTCTGCGTTCTACTTCTCACACGCACCCCTCACACACACACACACACACACACACACACACACACACACACTCACCCCCTCCCCCCTCCAACCTCCAACCCAACATCGCACCGACATCGCGATGATCTTCCTGTCCGACTCACTCCCCCCACCCCACACACACTCACCCCCTCCCCCATGCACACATGTAATAATAAGTGCATCATTGCTGCAGATATGGCAATGCGGCGGCACGTTGGAGATTATTCCCTGCTCGCACGTCGGCCACGTATTCCGTAAGTCGACGCCGCACGACTTCCCGGGCGGAGTGCAGAAGGTTCTGTCGACGAACCTGGCGCGTGTTGCCGAGGTCTGGATGGGAGAGTTCAAAAACTTCTTCTATAGAGTGTCACCGGGTAAATATATCTCTTCTATAGAGTATCACCGGGTAAATATATCTCTTCTATAGAGTGTCACCGAGTAAATATATCTCTTCTGTAGAGTATCACCGGGTAAATATATCTCTTCTATAAAGAATCACCGAGTAAATATATCTCTTCTATAGAGTATCACCGAGGATATATCTCTTCTATAGAGTGTCACCGGGTAAATATATCTCTTCTGTAGAGTATCACCGGGTAAATATATCTCTTCTGTAGAGTACGTATTACCGCGTAAATATATCTCTTCTATAGAGTGTCACCGGGTGAATATATCTTTTCTATAGAGTGTCACTGGGTAAAATATATCTTCTATAGAGTATCAGCAGGTAAAAATATCTTTTCTATAGAGTGTCACCAGGTAAATATACCCTTTTATAGAATGTCATCAAGTGAATGTACCATTAATGACATTATCTTTGCTAAACACGTTTTCTTACTCGTATCAAAATAATTCTGGCTGTCATACTATGTAGTATATTGTAGGTATAAATTAATGGAATGTCATGTGATGGATGAATGTATATGCATAATAATGTATATGTATATGTATATGTATATGTATATGTATATATATATGTATATGTATATGTATATGTATATGTATATGTATATGTATAGGTATATATATATGTATATGTATATCAGGAGTCTATCAATAGATCTATCTCCTATCAATAGGATCTATTGATAGACTCCTGTGTATATGTATATGTATATGTATAATATGTATATGTATAATATGTATATGTGTAATATATGTATATGTATGTGTATAAAAATGATGTATATGTATATGTATATGTATATGTATATGTATATGCATATGTATACGTATATGTATACGTATATGCATGTATATGTATATGTATATGTATGTATATGTATATGTATATGTATATGTATATGTATATGTATATGNCTTTAGGATTGACTCTGCACTGGTTATTATATATCAAGAGTCAATAATAGAAATCTATTATTTATTATTTTCAATTATGGATTCCTTACTTGCTTATTATTTGCTCCTATATATTACGTCCTTGTTAGAGATCAACGTACGAATCGATGATTGGTCGTTTTTAATATACATCGCTCATATATTTATGCTAAGATTAGTATGTATGAACCATGCGTAATTAAGTGATTATATATATAATGGCATATACATATAATATATATGTATATATATTATATATTCTACAGAAAAATGGCATTGCTCTTTGATTCAGTATTTTCTAAAACTGTATATGACGTATATAAACGTATATAAATAGGATGCATTTGACACACGTTTCAGTTACCGGGGGTCAATGCCCACTGTATGTCGAAGGCTGCCATAGACCAATTTACTCGCTGCACAGCTCTGGGTAAGCATTTATATTAATAAATTTGTTTCGTTACTAAACATGGCATTTTTATTATGCAACATAAAATTCCGATATAATACTAAGCAAACACAAAATAGTATAACCAAACAGTACAATATTCGATATTTTGTATTTGTTTTTTTTCTATTTTTAGATCTGGCTAGTAACGGAGTGAGATGCAACGCAGTAAAGTAAGATACCCTAATAAATAATTTTACATTTAAGTATTTGTCACAACATCTAATGTAGCGATAAAATATTGCAGACTAGCGTATAAAAATAGACAGAAGCGAAACCGAAACGTAGTCGGTTCAAAGATGTTATCGAGGCTTTACCTTTATTGCAACATAAGCGACCATAAGCAGCCAATCAGGGGACTAGAAATAGAAAGTGTCGGAGTCTTAACCCCTAACTTGGAATCTTCCCACATTATATTATCTCCTCCAGATTTCTTTAATTATGGCCACATGCTGCTTCACGACCTGCCACGTGCTCTCAGCCAGTGCTAACCACAGTACCATACTCCTTCGATCTCTCTCTCTTTCTCTCTCTCTCTCTCTCTCTCTCTCCCTCTCTTAAAAGCCAGATTTTAGGGAGCGAACCAAGCGCTCCCACCAATAGGTGTCAATACCAATGAGAATATCAATGGACTTCTCCGCACACTCAAACTGTGAATCCTCAAACTTAATATTTTTGAAGACACTAAGCACACTCTGAGGTACCTGAGGTTGCTGTAAATTGGTGTAGACGGTTGGAACCGCAACAGCCCTAATGGATTCTAAATGCACCAGTCGCTAAACTGGACAGCTCTAGTTTGTACGTGTTACGTAACTCACCTTTGGTAGATGTGTCACCCACAAATGGTGTCACCCACAAATGAGGCAAAACTGTTTTTGCCGAGACCCATTCTGGTCCTATTCTTTTAACCAGCTCACTTGACACATAAGAACGGCTGGACCCGCTGTCGCACAACAATGTGGCTTCGGTGACCCCACGCTGACTCCGAACACGCACCCTAGCTAAGGGTAGTATTGTGCGCAATTCATTCACGTGCGAATTTGATACCGTGACATGAATACCGGTATTACTCTCAGTATTACTGTCGGTACTGTTATTGTTATTGTTAATGTTTGCACCACTTCTCCTCCGATACTTGAACTTTGACGATCCGTCACAGAGAACCTGATGGTGCCAATCACCACACTGCACACACTTGGCAGGATACTGACGCGCGTAATGGTTTGTACCTATGCACTTGAAACATAGGTAATTAGCACAAACTTTGTCCTTTCGTTCTGCGATCGAACCACAAGTAAGGTCCCAACATTTGGCCGTGAGGTGACGTTTCCCAAAAAATCCATATTTTACGGCTTCCTTATACATGTTAGAAGACGACTGCAGTGCCGACGCTGTTGGCAACTGATTCCCCACGAATTTCACCCTTCAGAAATTCCAACACAAAGTCCATCTTCGTGGCCTTCACCATCACGAGCCCATTCCAGCTTCACATCGTTGGGTAGGCATGACAAACCCACAGGAGTAAGCAACTCTCTGTATTGTTCCTCTGTTATGTCGAGAGCGCTTAGACTATGAACGTGTGCCTGCACTTCATTATGAAGTTTCGATATAACTGGCCTACTCGGCCTTTTCCCGACCCCGTATTGGGCCGAGAGCTCATCCTCAGAAGGCTCTGTATGTGGGCAGATGCAATCTTTTCGCGCCTTCTATATCGGTCCTCAAAAATCTTACGGGCGTCGTCGTAATGGTCATTGGTGACCGAGAGTCCAGCTATTGCGGCATTAGCCTCGCCCTCTAGGAGCGGTCCAAATAAGTAAACTTCGAGATAGTTGCAAAGTCCGTAGTATCCCAAAACGACTACCACGATGTTACGTCCTCCTTGAATTTAGGCAGTTCTATCTTCATGAGCCTGACGCTATGCTTAGACTTTCCTAGGCCTACTAAGACCAGTTCGCTACCGACACGGTCCCTATCTACATCATCAGCATCAGTCTTGAAACTGGCATTTCGGAGGTCAGCTGCTGCCTGGATTTTGAGATTGGTTTTGAGTCTCACAGCGTCAATTTTTACAACACTAACGTTGTCAAGGAATGCCCCAGTTTCCTCGATCGAGTTGTTGAGTTCTTCTTCATTCTTACACTGAGCCTCAACGTCGCGCTGTGACCTCCTAAACGCAGCCAGACGAAGGTCCAGCTCTTCCAATCCCGACTCAACTACAGTTTTATCCACATCCACGCCGCCATCTTGTATGCATTTTTGCAGGTTATTTTTGTCCGACTCACCCAGCTTTTACTGGCCCGTTCTAACTTTTACTGCGGCGTCCATCCTTCTGTCGATTTTGTATGTGTTTCCCGTGTTTCGTCACCATTAAATGTCAGTAACGATAGACATTTGGGCGTAAATTTGCCCCAAAACCACCGTAAATCGAAAGATTAAAATTCGGATGTTGCTAAAACAAAACCCTTATGTTTTATTTTCAATATATGTTCACAAAATTTGTCATTCGCTACGTTTTCCACATACAGGGTCTTGCAAAGGAACCTGAATGACATGGAAACCACTATTAGTCCACAACAGTTAGAAATGCTAAAGTTGCTGATTTTTCAAAAGATATTTCTCGAAACTTCAATTCCAAAAAAAATTCCCGTTTTAATGCTAAAATATTAAAGAAAAACACGATCCCTGGAATTTTTATGAAATATTATATTTTAGAAGTTATGGTTCTTTGTTTACGAAATTGTTGCGTTTTAAAATTTATTACAAATCTTCGTGTATCTTTTCAACTTATTTCCAAAATTAAAGCATAGTCCTGTGGTACATTTGATATAAATCTATCAGTACCGCTCCAATAATCCTAGCATCCCATAAATAAAAGTTTAATTATATTGACAGTACTTTAAATATGCACTTTTTCTTTTAGTCCCGGTTCCATAAACACTGATGCACACAATCCCAATGGATTAATGAATGACGAAGCATTAGCTACGGTAGGTACAAAAAAAGACATAAAAATAAATTACCAAGACTTAGACATAACAAATAATGGTTATTGTAAGTTTACTATACTATTTAAAGTTTAACCTATACTATAACTATCTTACAGTATTTCGAGAAACTCTCAACGCTGATTCCATTGGGACGAGTTGGTGAGACAGACGACGTTACCAACGCCATCGTGTTTTTGGTTAGCGACGATTCGTCGTTCATGACGGGTGCGACAATGTCTGTTGACGGAGGCAGATGCGTCACCACGATTTAACATAGGTCACCGGTATTGACGTTACGACAGAAACAGGCTCGTGAGATGTTTTCAAAATTTAATTACATTTTTTTAAAGAAAATCTTAAATTATCTATCAAATAAACTTTAATCAGTCTAAGATGTCATGTATAAATCATCTTTATTTTTGTTGGAAAAGATTTCACGCTTAATACGAATAAAGGAGATGTTTTGATTGCAGCTCACGCCCCTTCGTGGTAGATGTCGGAATCATTACTGATTTTACTCACCATGTACTATTAGCTCTTGATAACATCAAGAGCGATAAAAACAAACCGTATTAACTCCGGACATTATGTTCATCTCCCTGGTCGTAGAATGACGCACTGAGAATGAATTTGATATCTTGAATTTGTTTTTTTGGTCTTTAGCAATATACGTGGCACATTATGTTTTGCAGAGCTTCCTCACGTGTCAGATTGATTATCGACACAAAGGGTATGGTGCCGGGTTAGACGGATTCTGCTATGCTATTAAACCTGCACTTGAATTATTTGTTCTACAACTTGGTTATTTAAGGTTCACGCTTATAAACAGTTAAAAGCTTTATCATAAACTCGATTAATTGTGTTTTTATTGCTAAATAATTAAAGGTCAATCGTTTTCCAACAAGTTACTAAAAGTAGTCTAGAACTTTGCACCGAAAGTAGGGGGCGACACCTGCTATGTCTCACAGGATACTACGTTCAAAGTCGAGGTTTTAAATAAATTAGCTTAAGTCATGGTCAAGAACAATTTTCCACGAGTAACCGTGCTGTTAAATTCGTGCATCAGGGCATAAAATATTAAATCTTGTCCCTTTAAATAGTTACAGATTGCTGGTTCTCTGCACACTTTACAAACTTCCTGCAAACTAGATATTAATGTTAACTGGAGACTGTGGTCCAAGTTAAATGGTGATTATCTGGCTTTTAGGATAGTAATTATTGACGAAATGAATCAATAATTTAGTGGGTAATTTACTGATGAACGGCTTCAATTGAATATCTTTTGTAATCTGTATTAATTTTAAGGTTGAGAAATTATAAAAAATAGTCAATGTTTTACTGCGAGTTACCGTACGTACTCATTAAATGTTATGTACGTATGTACGTACTCAGGAATATGTTATCATTCTTATTCAAAAATCATATAAATACATTTTCATTTGAATCTCTCTTAAAATAACATGTTTGATTCATATTTTTGTACTTATGTTTAAATGTGTATGTTTGTGTTTATTTATCGATATAATTATGCTATCCTATAACCCTGTTATACTCACCCCTCCTTCTTCTCTTTTCCTCTTCCCTCCACAATCACTCACTATGCACAGTCTTTCTTATACTCCTCTGCTCTACCTTCAATCATCATCTTCCTCTTCTGCCTCATCCTATTTACCTTCATCTTCTTCCCTCCACTGACTATAACTATATACAACCTACTCTTCCTCCTCCCCCATTCTTCTTCTTCCTCTTCTTTCTTCTACCCCACCACTTCCTCTCCCTCCTCTTACTCCATCATTTACCGCATTCTTTATTACCCTTCTCCACTGACATTGCTTCCTCGGTCCAGTCTATGTTTATGAGAATTTGGACAGGGCCTATTCAGTCTCGTCTATGTCTATGAGATTTTGTACATAACCCATTCGGTCCAGTCTGTGTTTATGAGTATTTAAACATAACCTAATCAGGCCAGTCTGTTTTATGAAAATTTAAACATGACTTCTTTAGTTTGGCCCGTATTTATAAGTATTTAAATATAAACTTTTTGGTCTGGCCTATGTTTATGAGAATTTAATCATAACATAAATTCGTTCCAGTCTATTATAAGAATATAAACATATAGCATTTTCAGTTTAGCCTGGGTTTATGAGTATTTAAATATAACCCTTTCAGTCCATTATATGTTTATTAGAATTTAAACATACTTTTTCAGTTAAGCCTGGGCTCATGAGTATGTCGGTCCAATCTATGTTTATAACAATTTAAACACACTTTATCAGTTTCGCCTGTGTTCATGAGTATTTCGGGCGAGTCTATGTTTATGTGAATTTAAACACAACCCATTCAGTATCCCATATTCAGGACAATTTTGAAGTAGGCTTTACAGTCCAATCTATATTGCTGAGAATCTACTGCTGGGACGGTAAACCGTTACAGGGCATGCGAGAAGGAGCTGCATGATTGACAGGTCGGTCCAAACACAGCCCACTGCCCACTGTGCACAAACGACCTGCTCTGTGAATATATGCGTTGGCAGTTTATTAACGTTCATTGTTTGTTTACTTACGTTTAGTTCTTCAGACATAATTATTTGTTGTTTGTTTTTTATACGTTCTATGTTCTACATACGTACGTCTACTGTGTGTTTACTGTTGGATTTGTAAGTGCGGGGCGTGTTGGCACTGGTTACACGTTGATTGCCCGTGTTACGTAACGATGATTGACATGATGACATGTACTGATCTATGTAGAACCCTCTATATAACGGTCCGAATGACAGACACTGATCTATGTAGAACCCTCTATATAACGGTCAGCAATGGCAGACACTGATCTATGCAGAACCCTCTATATAACGGTCAGAATGACAGACACTGATCTATGTAGAACCCTCTATATAACGGTCAGCAATGGCAGACACTGATCTATGG